AAATGTCACAAAACAGCAGTATTGCCAAAGGGAACTTCTAGATTCTATGGAAACATTTCTTGCTTGTCTCTGTAATATTGAGGAGTGGCAGCTGTTACTAATATTTGGTGAGCAGAATCCAGATTATGCTTGACCCCCTGCACAACTTTTGAAAGCCCTCCCATTTATAGTGGCTCAGCCCAGAACCCAACTCCATACCACATACACACGCAAAGTATTTTTGCTCAATTTTCAGATAGTCTGAGTTGCTGAGAAATACAACTACTGTGTACATCGGGAAAAATGCATTTGCTTTTCATTAGAAAGCTTACAGGGTTTTCACCTTTTTAGAAAATTGTGTCATCAATGACAAAGTTGTTCATTGTGTTTAAGTTGCCAATACAGCATACCTGCATCAGCCTGCATTTGTGGCTAATTGAACACATGGTAATTCTACCTCTCAATGCAAGCATCATTATGTCTTCTAATACGGTCCTGCTTGAGAACCTACAGCGTGAAATATATATATATTAGTATTACCAGTATTTTTCCCTTTTGTGTCTCCTTTATATTGCAGTTAAGGCATTGTATTGATATTTTTTAATTATATATAATTGTAAATTATATTATCTACATTTTTCTTTTCTTGGCAGTAAAAGGGTGTTTCTTTATTTTTTATCATAAAGTGGGTCAATGAAACTGATAACTTTAGAATTACTGATCTAAAGAAAAAATATTCTTTTTCAAAAGAAACATTCATTAAAGTCCCTGTTAAAATCTCCATACATGTGTTTGATAGAGCTGGACAGTCAGTCGTATGAGACTTTGTCATAATTCCTCCAAGGGACCAATAGAAGGTTCTCATTCCTGTGGATTTGGTTCCTAAAATTCCATGCAAAACCATAGGCTCTGGTTCAAGATCATCTTCTGGAATTCTCTCTTCAATGAGCTAGTGAACAGCCCCCAAACCTAGCAAAGACCCTCCCCCGGGGGAAGGAGTGGGATGGCAGAACTGGACTAGAATCTGAGAAGCAAACGGTGCAGGATGAGTTGGATTCCACTGTTTTCCCAGGGGCACTAGATGGTTGTCTTGGGCCTGGAATCTGGGGAGAGGAGACAGTGTGTGGAGAAGGAAGAAGGTGGGAAGTTTGCTCTTCTCTACAGGTAGATGGATCTGAGAGAGGTGGCTGTGTAAGAGCCACAGAGTTATGGAAAGAAACTTTAACAAGATATAGAAGGAAGACTGGCCACCAAACTGATGGCTGCAACACTGTGGCCATTTAAGGAAGAAGAATGGCTCAAAGGGAGGTGTAAGCATCTGTTGGCCAATGGGTGGAGAGGAGGATTCTGTCCTTCCAGCTGAGACTCTAGGAGGGAGACACATGGGTCTAGCCCCAAGGAGAAGAGGTGTGTGCAGATATCTTAAAGTTAGGGCAAAATGCTGAGATTGAGTCATACGCTGTGCCATATTGGCAGAAGCCACACCAGTTTTTAAAGGCTTATCTGCTGAAGAACATGCAATTCAAATCCCATTAGAGGGAGACAGTCGTGTCTGTTGGGTGGGGATGCCAGGGCAGCAGGACATTTGAGAGAGGAGAATAAATACATATGTACATTTTTGCTTGCATGTGTATAGATACCTTTGGAAGGATACCCAAGAAAATATGGTTGCCACCAGGAAAGGGAGCTCGGTGGTGGGGATAGGGGAATTTTTACCACACTTGTGCTTGTGGATTTCCCTCCTCCTGAATATTATCACTTGGATAAGCACCAAGCTTCAAATCTACATTGGGCAGCCAATGGTAAAACATAGAAGTCTAAGATTTTGAGAGGTCATTACCAGATCTGGGACACCTCAGTCTCTTGGCTGGATAGTCCCAAAAGAGTTATCATTGGTCTTATGTCCTTTGAATTTTCTCCACTTGATCAAGTTTCTCCCATATATCCCTGGCTTTCTTACTGGGAGTTCTCTGCAATTCTTCTCTTACCCCATTTTCCTGAGTTATCTGATGGTTTTACTCTATATTTTAAATTTTGATGACTCTTCATTTTATATGTGTAGCCCTAATCATTACATGGATAGAGCAGAGGCACCTCAAAAGAACTAACTCATGATTTCTTTCCACAAGCCCTCTTACTATATTCTCTGTTATTACCCAAACCAGGAACATGAAGCCACCCTTGACTCTTCCCTTTGCCTCACCCCACCCACCCAGCATTCAATCCATCACCAAGTCCTCATGATTTGACTCCTAACTATCTCTGGAATGCATATCCTCATCCTCATTTCTGGTCACTCTGCCACCTCTAAGGACTTGAACTAAAGTGCAAATTTTGATTATCTTTTACCTATACCTTTGCAATAATCTCCTAACAAGTCTTCTTACCTCCAATCTGACCTGAGTGATCCCACTAAAACACCAATCTGACCAAGTCACTCTCCTATTAAATCCCTTTACTGGCTTTTCTTCACCTATCACAGCTGTTTCAGCCATAAAATGCCTGAAAAAATGGCATTTCCCTGGGCAGATCTCCCCTAGGAAGACCAGATTTCTTAGGGAATACTCAAGTACAACCTGAAATGTGGTTCATGCTTGATTCATATATATATATATATATATATATATATATATATATATATATATATATCTCCTCACCTGAGGACATTTTTGCATTTATCTTCAGGTAGAGAGGGAGGAAGAGAGAGAGAGAAATATCAATGTGAGAGAAACACATCAACTGGTTGCCACCCACACAACCCCAACGGGGCTGGGGACAAACTGCAACCGAGGTACGTGCCCTTAGCGGGAACCAACCCAGGTATCCCTGGTCCGCAGTCCAAAACTCTAACCCCTGAGCCAAACCAGCCAGGGCCATGCTCTATTCTTATTCCACTATCAGTAAAGCAACCCTTGCCCTCTCATTGGCCCAGTGCACGTAGGTTATCATAAGCCAGTAAGCTCCAAAACCCCATCTGAGAATTTCTGAGCCACACACTATAGTCCAGACTCCACTGAATGCCTACAAGGCCTTCCTGATTGGATCTGAGTAACTCTTCACCCTCATTTCTTGTCAATCACTTCACGTTCCTTCAGATGATCAAATACTTATGCAGTTTTTTTCTTTCACATCTTTACCCATATTATTTCTTCTGCCTGAAATGTTCTTCTCTGCCTTAAATGTCCTTTTCTGCCTGATAAACTCCTATTCATTCTTTAAAATCCTGCCAGGCATCACTTTTAATCACCCTCACTTCAATGTGAACCATTTGTATGCCTTGTATATGTTCTTGTCATTACATGAGTCATGTGTGTTGTAATAACATGTTTACATACTCTCCATCACCCAAGTCTCTAAGCTCTTTGAGAACAAGCTCTTTGAGAACAAGACCATGCCACACTCATCATAGTACCCAAGGATTGGCTTCATCCCTGACATGTGTGTGCAAGAACTATTCATTGAACTAAACAGAATCCAGATTTTTTCTTTACTGTATTTCTAATAATGTATTTGGGCATTTGATCTCACTTAATTTAGTTCTACATTATATACTGACGTACACAGAATTTTCATTTGGTCCTTGGGGCCTTACAAGTTTTTATAAGTTTCCCTGTAAATTTTAGTGGTCTCTGTTTCATGTCTGGCCTTACCAAGAATACCCAAGTCCAAACAAGATGAACAGGTGTATTCCCAATACTGAAATGTAACTAAATAAAGTTGTAACCTTATAAAGAATTTAGAAAATGTGTATGTCAGAGTAGTAGAATATATCGCTGTTCATTCAACAGTGTCCCAGGTGCTATATCTGGTGGCCCCAGGGGTTTACTCTCCCATGGAGAAGGTCCAGAAAGGAAGCAGCTCTGGTGAAGGGGTAACTAGAAAGAAGGGATAGAGCTCACCAAGTTGTGTTTACATGATACTCTTGTTGATGGATCCTCTGTATTCCCCTTGGGTTGACAATGAAGCTAAGAATACTTTTTCTAATTGGAAGCTAAGAAAACCAATCTTCAGAGAAGATGACTGATTTTTTTCATGGTCATAGAAGCAATGAGAAACGAATGTTCATTTATTCCTTACAGCAAGCATCTACTGAGTGGCCTGGAGACCAAGCAGCAATATTACACCTGACAGATCATCATCATCATCATCGTCGTCGTCACCATTACCATTAAAATTGGTACTCACTGAGTGCTTACTATGTGTTAGTCATCTTATTTAATTTTCACAATAATTCCCACAAGGGAGGCTTATTACCTTCATTTTAGAGATAACAAACCTGAGGGGCAGAGAGCTCTGTAACTTGTACATTATCACTGAGCTAGTAACTGATGGTGGTAAGACCCAAACCCAGGCACATCTGAATCCACATGTGCATGCTTCTGGCCACTATGCTATCTCATTGTACTACTTCACAAGTATGGGCTGTATGTCCACATATAAACTTAGATTAAGCAGAGCTTTGGGTAGTGGCCTGAGAAAGAGGGGAAATGGATATCCCGTTCTCCAGTACCACTCTTGGTTCCTGCTCGCCCCAGGCCAAACTCTGTATTCTGGCTGTAGTAACTGTTGCCTTCATTACCCACACCCTCTCATCACCAGCTGTTCCACATGAATAATTACTTATCCATGCAATACTTTCCCCTCTTCTCAATGCCAAATTCCTCCTTCCCAACCTGCTTGCTCACTGCCCTTTTCAAGAAAACCTCAGATGAAGAAAACCTGCTACCCTATTGTCACCATTTCTCCATGACATATCTACCCTCTGAAAAAAAGAGCTTGTCTAGTTCAATGTTAAATGTTTAAAGTGACCTGTTGCCTGACCAGCCTCCCCATATTGCTCATGTTCATGTGTCCCAACTTCCCCATACACCATGCAGCTCTAAGGTCTTCTTTCCCTCCCACAAAGTACCCATCCGGGATAAACAGCGCTGTGAACAGAGGAGTTGGAGACTCAGAGAATTTCAGATGCAGTTTATTGCAGCAACACAAGGAAACGGGAGTTCCAGACCTCGCCACACAAGTCAATCAACTGGCTTACACCGTATGTACAAAACCAAAGCAGCGCAGAGCTCCTGCAAGAGATGGGGCCGTAAGTGCTGAGCTGCCCGGAGCACGCGCCTTCCGCGCAGGAGGAAGCCTTGGGTCTGACCAGCCCGCCCGCCTCTGGTTGACTTAGGAGGTTCTTTGAAATGTAATTTGTGTAGTGGTGATGACTGAACAGGTTCTGGGACAAAGCACAAAGCAGGGTCACGGCCAGGGTCTGAGCTTGCCACTGATTTAAACACTTCTTCGGGAAACAGAGCAGAAAGGAAGGAGCTGGGGAGACATGATGAACCAATGGAACTAACCAGTAGCTTTTTCTTCAGTAGGGCTGGGGCACTGACCTCGCTCTTGCCAAGCGTATTTGGGAGTGATGGAGAGCAGAGCTAACAGGCTAGAGAACACCGCTTTATCTGGCCCCTCGGGAATAGCTGGTAGAAATAAACTTCACGCTGGAACTACCCCCAGAGGTCTTCGTGCCCCCAGAGGTCTTCGTGCCCCCAGAGCTGGATCCCCAGCCTCCCGAGGAGCCGAAGCCACCTCCAGAGCTCCCGCCACTGCCGGAACCCCGGCCCCCGGAGCTGCCGCCGCCGCCTCCAGAGCCGCCTCTGTGTCCCCCACTGCTGCCTCCACCGCCGCCTCCGGAGCCTCCGTAGCTGCCGCTGCCGCTGCCACCTCCGGAGGAGCCGTAGCCTCCACCGCCACCTCCGGAGCCATAGCCTCCACCGCCACCTCCGGAGCCATAGCCTCCACCGCCACCTCCGGAGCCGTAGCCTCCACCGCCGCCTCCGGAGCCATAGCCGCCGCCAGAGCTGAAACCCCCGCCTCCGCGGCCACCACCGCCGCTGATACTGGTGTGGCTAGTGCTCACAGCTGCAAGGGGACACTCAGTCACCTCCCATCCCAGCTCCCTTTCCAACCCGACCAAACCTGCACAAGCCCCCGGGAACCCTGCACGGGCCCTGTGCTGCACTTACACACGCTCACGTTCGGGGCACACTCTCCGGACATCCTGCAGGAGAGAGAAAAGCGAAGTCCTTGTCACCCTCCAGTTTCACAACAAGCGCTTCCCCAGGCCCTCTCAGCTGCCCCACAGCTCCCAAAGGGGCTCCTCTTTGAGCTTTAACTAATCCAGTCCCTTCTGGCCTCCCAAAACCATGTCTCACAAACAGGAAGACATCTCCATATAAATTAGACAAGAATCTTGCATCTGGTGCAGGTAACCTCCAAAGGCAGAGACTTTGGCCAGATGTCATCTGAGCCAGCCCAGATGAAGAATACATTGCTCCGTCTCAAAGCACTTCACAGAGACGCTATAGACCTCACAAAAGAAAGGTGTGGGACTCCGGCTCCCAAAGCGAAGCCATCTCTTTCCTCCAGCACTCTTTCCCCACACCTAGGACAAGCTGCAGCCACACAGCTCCAGTTTTCAACAGCGGCCAACTTGCAAGGGAAGAAACAAATAAGAAGCCAAACTGCCCAGGGTCCCTTTCTCACCTGCTTTCCTCTCCTTCCAAGAGGGCCCTGTAGGTAGCGATCTCCACGTCCAGGGCCAGCTTGGTGTTCATCAGCTCCTGGTAGTCACGCAGCAGCCGGGCCATGTCCTCCTTAGCCTTCTGTAGGGCATCCTCCAGCTCATTCAGCTTGCCCTGGGCATCTTTGAGGGCATTCTCACCACGCTGTTCAGCATCACTGATAGACTGCTGCAGCCCAGAGATCTGAGAAAGGAGAATCCAGCGCAATACACACTCTCTTAATACCTAATCCCACCCTGGCCTTTTTATCTCCAATAGACTCTCCACCCCAGTGATGCCAGTTCTCTGGGTCCAACAAAACCACAAGAACTTAAGTCACTTCAGGCTTTCACCTGCCTCTGGATAGCATATCACCAGGTTGCTTTCTTTAGCCCTTCAATGTGATGCAGCAGCCTCTATTGGCCCTGAGTCAAGGCTTACACCCTTGGCATTCTCCTAAATGCCTACCCTGAGACCTCTTGGCTGCCTTTTCTCTCACTCACCACCTCTTAAATAGAAAGAAGAAGCAAGTACCTGCTTTTTTACACTGTTGATTTCAGATCTAAGTCTCTGGATGATCCGATTCAGCTCAGAAATCTCCATTTTTGAATTTTTCAAGTTGTCCCCATGTTTGCCAACAGTGACCTGGAGCTCTTCATACTAAAGATGATGGATCAAGTCAATTAGATGTGACAGAGCATATACCCCTTCTCACGCACACAAATATAAGAGAAAACACAGCCTAGCAAAACAAGACATTTCAGGAAAACTGGCCAGACATTCAGCCCATTCACCTTGCTCTGGTACAGGGCCTCAGCCTCGGCCTTGCTCTTATTGGCGATCTCCTCGTACTGGTTCTTGACCTCCGCGATGATGCTGTCCAGGTTCAGGTTGCGGTTATTGTCCATGGAGAGAATGACATTGGTTTCGCTGATATGAGTCTGCATCTGAGACAGCTCCTGCAAGACATAATATTCAGTGACTCTTATTGTTAAAACAGAAAACAACTTAGACAGAGGGAGGGGTCAGGAAATGAAAGATATACCTCTAAATCTCTGGATAGTGGTGGATTCGGGCTTAAAAGTTCTCCACTTGGTAAACGTGGTTGAAATTAGAGGGCTTACCATTTGGTAGAGTACTGTGAAGAAATCAATTTCCTGACGCAAGTTGTCAACTTTGGCCTGAAGATCCACCTTGGTCATATAAGCACTGTCCACATCCTAGGGGAAAATAGACAGCATAGAGTCATAGTCTTTACAGGGCAAACCCCTCTCACCAGCAGTGAGGTGATTTTCCAAGTAGAAAAGGTGTTTTGGGTCTATTCCACACCTTTATATCACAGGTGCATCAGCATCCCTCAGCTGCCCCACCCGTGGGATTACACACAAAGAAGCTTGCCTGATTTGCTGGGAACTTGCCTCCCCACTTACTACATGAAATGCTGAGGGCTCCAGAGAAGCAGAGGGCCTGGTTAAGTCCAGGTCCATGACTATGTGGAAGGAAAACTCTACTTCAGACATTCAGCAGGCCACTCTCTGGTTCTCCATAACATGACTTCCTTCTGCCTAGTAATTAGAGGCCCTGTTCTAGTGTTTATTTTCGATGTGAGGTCCATCCTACGGAATTTGCTCACCTTCTTGATGGTCACAAATTCATTCTCTGCATTTGTCCGTTTGTTGATCTCGTCTTCATACCTGCAAGGAAACCAGAAGTGAACAGGCGATCCAGAGAAGGCGAGTCCTGAGGTTTCGCTTTCTAGACTAAAACTGGCATGGCTTCTTATAGCTTTTCCATTACTAGCCTAGGATATTTTCGCCACCCCTTTCTTTTGAGCAATAAAACCATTAAATAATTTCCAGATTCTAAAAAGATGAAGATTTCTGAAAATGCCCAATTGATTTGCCTCTAACCTAAGAAAAGACATTGTTATATTCTGTTCATGGTCTTAGCATGCCATTGCCTGGAAATATTCTAGAACAAAGGTCAAGAATTGCCCAGCCATGTTTCCTTACTTGTTCCGGTAGTCTTCTACTAGGTCTTGCATGTTCTTCAATTCCGAATCCATTCGAGATCGATCACTCTTCAGTTGATCCAGTTTCTGTCTAAGACTGTTGATGTATGACTCAAAGTAGGGGGCTAAGTTGTGGGTCCTAGTGGAGGTATCCACCTGCTGCAGCAGCTCCCATTTTGTTTGCAGCACCTGGTTCTGCTGCTCCAGGAACCTCACCTAAAAACACAAAACCTCATCACCCACTGATACAGAAGTGGAGCCCAATGGCACTGAGCCCCAAGGGCTACCACACAGCAAGGCCCATACCTCACTTAGAAAAGAATTTTATTATTGTCTTCCTGGCCATGACAAACAGAAAAATAGAAAGAAGATGATCGAGTTAGCATCATCTTCAAAACAAAACCCACCTCATTGTCAATTCAGTGAAGCTTTAATTTCCCTGAGAATGGCCATTGCAGTATTATTTCTGCTGGAACTTTAGAAGAGAGCAGCTACACAAAGCCAATAGCAAAGCGCATGTGAAATTACTGCGACTGCACTTTGAAATAGATACGTGACACTTAAGAGATTTACCTTTCAATTTTTTTAGGTCAATTACCATAAAAGTGGGTTGGGAAAATCCAAAATTGAATCCCAAATCTATTGTGGATAAATTGAGTTGATATTGTTATTGATGATTAAGCAAAAAAAGTAAAAAAGTAGTTTACGTGTTTTGTTTTGTTTTCAGAGCAGATACTTGGAAATATAAGTACAAAAACATCTCCACCCTGATATGGTATCAGTGGAAAGTTCTCAGAAGGCAGACCTCCCCTTCTGACAGCAAAAGGTCTTTGGCACTGCTACACTCTTTCTGCTACAATATCCGGTGTGCTCTGTTCACACTCAACTTCCTTTTCATGGTTTGGAAGACTTTTCCAGGGTTCTCATTTGTACCCTAGAAAGCTGAGTTAGCCCCATTTCTGTCATCTTCATTCAACATGTATGAGTCCCAATTCAGCCCAAGAGCTAAATTAAAAAACACTTCAGGGTGATGTCAAATTGACCCACGTTTATGTCGACCTCAGACCCATTTGTCCAAGAGAGAGTTTAGTCACTAGCATCATTCATAAGCATACTTCCAACATATCTCCTGGAAGACAATTCTAAAAATACCCTTTTAATCATATAAGCACAGATTGGGCTCAAGGCCGAACATGTCTTGGCTGCACCACTCCCAAGTGGACCAGGAGCAGGTTCCCTGCGCACTGAGCAGGTCAACTCACCTTGTCAATGAAGGAGGCAAATTGGTTGTTGAGTGACTTGATTTGCTCTGTTTCTTGAGACTTTACTTTTTGGATCTCAGGGTCAATCTCCACATTGAGGGGTTGCAGAAGGCTCTGATTGATGGTGACTTCTTGTATGCCACCAGGGGGGCAGACGGGCCCAAAACCACCCCCAAAACTACCTCCACCAAAACCACCTCCACCAAAACCACCTTTACTGCCAAAGCCACCACCAAAACCACCACTGCCAAAACCACCCCCAAACCCACCACCACCAAAGCCACCACCCCCAAAGCCACAACTGCCATAACCACCACCAAAACCACTACGTCCACCTCCTCTAGCCACACTGATGGAGATACTTTTACTGCCACCAAGGTTAACAAGACTGCGACTTCCAAAGCCACCACCAGCACCTCCCCCACCACATCCTCCTCCTGAAAATCTCCCGCCACCTCCTCCACTGCGGCGCACAGAGCTGCTAGTGGTCCTGCGTTGTAAGCTGACTACCCCGGCAGAGCCAGAGCTGAAGCCTCCTCCGCTCCGGTACCCAGACCTGGAACTAAAGTGCCGATTCATGTTGCCTTAGAGAGAGTAGGAAGAAAGTGGAGAAGGGGAAGGAGCTAACACTCCTCTACCCTGAGCACAGAGGCTTCCCTTTATATACAGGGAGTGATTGGGCTTGGTCCTCGAGTCAGCGGGATGCAGTGCTACTCACGGGTTTGGCTTGCCTGCAGCCATACAAGATTTTTACGAGCCTCAACAATACAGTAAACACTGCACCACTCACTCCCAGGATGGTTCTCAAAGTTGCTGCACATGCAAGATTGCTCATGTGGTAATCGTTTTATCAGGCAAAAATCTCTCTTCAAGTGCTTGCGACTTTAGGAAAGAGGACCCTACCTCTGCCACCTGGTGCTTCTTGACAGGATTTCGTAACCTCCTGTCACAAAAATATGCAAGTTCCCATTCTTACCTTGCCCTTGTCAGCTGTGAAAACACTGTCTCCTCAGGTGTGGCAGGTGCAGTTCCCCACGCTCCATCTCAGAAGGAGCCCTCCAGCCCATTTCTGAGATCTGCCCTTGAAACCCCGGAGCTCACCAGGTTTTATCTCCAGACACAAAGTCAGAGCTTCAATAAGTGAGCAATGCAAAGAAGCTATTTGTAGTCAATGTTAGCTTTATAAATGCGCTGTACTAATAGCAGAGGGAGAGAAGTTGTCGTCAAACAGGGGGGGTGGATAGGCGATCTGGAAGGACCTGAAGGGAAAGACATGTTCGTTCTGAGTTCCTTTTCCTCGAAGATAGACCAGGGCAGGAGACAGAGACACCAGCAGCAGAAACCAGGTGCAAACACGTGGCATGTGCGTGCCCGTTGAAAAGCGTATGCAGCAGTGAGGTGAGCAGAGAGAACCTGGTTCATACATTTTGTAAAGTGAAGGGGAGGAGGTAGGACTTGACAGGTGGCTCAAGCCTCACACTAGACTATAGGGAGAGATTAGTGAAGATTTGAAAGGGAGTCCGGAAAGCCTGATCTGAGAAGCTGAAGTTGTTTCTGGACAATAGCAATGGCAATAGTAATAGTAATAATAGCCAACATGTATCAAAAACTGACCACATACCAGGCACTGTTCTACATATATTACATGTATTCACTTACTTAATTTTCACAACTTTGAGATAGATCCTGTCATGCTACCCAATTTTTAAAATAAGGAAACTGAGGCACAGAGGTTGAATAGCCTGCCCAAGTTTACCTGGATATTAAGTGGCATGGCTGGGATTTGAACTGAGGATGCTGATCTTGGTGGGCAAGATCCTAACCAGCACGTCGTATGACAGCACAGCAGCTGAATTTGGTTGTGCTCCTCGCTTTGTGGAAAGCCAGGCAGCATGAGGAGCTGTCTGGCTGCAAGGAACTCTAGCAGCCAGGGGCCCATTTTAACCCTTTGAGTCCTTGGCCCCAGCACTTGTGCATGCATGGAACATGTTCTTCAATTCACTCTGAGAAGAGGAGATGGGAAGTGCAAAGTTCATGGGGAGATTTTGCTTCTGTCCAGGTGCAAGGATGCCCTGCATGTACTGCAACGGGCTGGGAAACCCCAGGGTCCTTCCTGGAGAGCAGCACCTGATCAATCTCAATGGGGAGGCAAGTAGTGGCATTGGGATCTGGAAAGACCCCAAACCCACACTGACTTTCATTCCGAGACTTCTTAGAAGCCTGGCATGCTCCCCTCAATTGCATGTAAACTCAGAATTGGAGACTCAGTGAGAAGCCACCGCTAACCTCAGTTGGCTCCCAGCAGCTCTAAGTGGCAAATTGTAGGCCTGTATGATGGTCTCCACTGCATAACACAAGGTATGCAGAAGAGGAGTCTGTGAAGAGCATCTGGTCCTGTTGCCCTGTGATTCTTAACCAGGACAGCCCTCTCCAGCCACTGAGCCTTGTCCCTTCTCTTCTATCACAGTTTTAGTCCCATACCTTCCTCCAAAAAGTGTCCTTCATCTCTCCTCTGTTCCCCACTGCTTCCTTGCCATCTCCATGGCACTGTTGTCTGAAACTGTCTTAACACTAACATCCTTGGGCTGCTAAGCCAACCATCTCTATAGACAATGAGTAATCCAGATCTTGTTCCTGACTAGGAACAATGGGACCTGGGATGGTCTTGGTGTGGTAATGACTGTTGCCTAATATCTTCTGACAGGCAATCAAAGTACTTTCAGTTCAGCATACTCCCTCATGAGACATATTACTCTGCACAGCTGATTGCTTCTAACACTTTGGAGGGGTGTGCATGTGTGTGTGTGTGTGTGTGCATGTGTGTTTGCTTGTATGTGTGTTTGCATGCAGAGGTGGGTGGTCAGGCAATCGATAGACAATTTACAGAGTGAAAAACTTTCTCTAGCTGCCACCATGAAGAAGAAGAGGCGCAGGGACTGGGAGAAACAAGGTGTAAAAACCAATATGGTTTTTTCTCAAAAATTAAAAATTGATCTGCCATTTGACCCAGTGATCCCACTTCTAGGAACATACCCTAAGAAGCCTGAAACACCAATCAGAAAGAATATATGTACCCCTCTGTTCATAGCAGCACTATTTACAATTGTTAAGATCTGGAAACAGCCCAAGTGTCCATCAGTAGATGAGTGGATAAAAAAGCTCTGGTACATTTACACAATGGAATACTATGCAGCTATAAGAAAGAAAGATCTCTTATCTTTTGAGATGACATGGAGGAAACTGTAGGGTATTAGGCTAAGCAAAACAAGCCAAACAGAGAAAGACAAATATCACATGATCTTACTTATTTGTGGAATATAATGAACAAAGCAAGCTGATGAACAAAATAAACCCAGAGACATAGAAGTAGGGTACAGAGGAGAGGAGGAAAGAGATAACCCACAGAACTTAAATGCATGTATGTATAACCTATGGACATAGACAACAACACTGGGGGGGGGGGGGTCAGGAGGAAAGTGTCATTGGGGAAAAAGGAGAAGCATCTGCAACAAAAATAAATTAATTTTTTTAAAAAAAGGTCATCAAAATCAGTGGCCCTTGAATCACAGGGCTCATGATTGAAGTTTCTGGAACAAAATTTGGGTTGTTAGGTAGCAAGAGAAAGAAATATATCCACTAGAGAACTTTCATTTATTTATTTTTGTACTTTTGATAAAATACAATATTCCCTTGTTTCCAGGAGAGACGTTTTTGTCAGATTTTAATATCTCCAAAGTTAGGATTAATTTTAGGCTCAATGGCATATTAAGGTTGAATTGGCAGTGATATATGTTATCTCTTTCAGAGTGATATGTAAAATAATGTTGCATGTTACAAACAATATACTATCATAGGTCTCAGGTGAGATGACATTTTTCTTAAATACTCTAAACTGACTAGGTCTTCATTTCAAGGATGTAACTAGTGCTTATGTTTCTGGAAACATTAAATTATTTAATTCAATAATATTTGTGAATAAATGATCTTGTTAATCACAATTAATAAGCATATTTGAACTTTGGCGCCCCCTCCGCCAAAAAAGAAGGTGTAAAAATCACCATCAGTTTACATTTGCATAGTTCACCTCAACAAACACCTACACAAACACCATTCTGACAAGAACCCTGTGAACTAGACAATCAAGCAATTTTTACAAAACAGAAAACTGAGGATCGGAGAGATTAAATGACTTGCTTAGACACTCCAGATAAGAAAAAACATATCTGGGCCTAGCACTTGAGTTTTCTGGTTTCAGTTCAAATGTTCTTCCAGCTAAACTGGAGAAGAGGCTCAAGGACCGGCAAGTGGAATGGGTTCCCACAGTGAGTGCACAGGGAATCACAGAATGCTCCCCTCTGCCGGAGCTCCAAGGCCCCCACCATCTAACTCGCCCACAAAGCAGTGAGAAGGCAGGCCCAAAAAGCTCAGCCATGCCTCCAGGTCACATCCTCAGTGCCTGGGACCCTCCAGTTTCTGAACCGAACTCCTACTCTCTTTCCCCCACTTACTTTTGAGACAATCCAATCGGGCCGGGAACCACCCTGCTGCTGGCAGCCAACCTCATCGTTTCCGGCGATGTCGCAGGGTTGGAGAGGGTGTGTGGTGATATCAAAGTGGGATATTAACGTTAACCACACACTCTCATTCCTGGCTTATTTGTGTACAGCAAATTTGTAAAACAAAGGCAAAATGAAAATAAAGACAAGATGAAAGAGAAAAGACGCACTACTATCCACAGTCACTGACTATGTGCAAGGAGCTACATCTCGTTTAAACATCACAAAAAGTCTAGGAGATGGTAGTCATGAGCCCTGTTTTACAGAAAAGGCAACTTGGGTTCTTAAATACATGCCCAAGTGGCCCCGGGTGGTAACTGACAAGCCAAGAGTGTCCAACTCCGAGCATGTGCCTGCTTCAGCCCGTGGCCTCCTCTAATCACTGGCCGCCCCACCACCCGCATCACCTACAAATGTCCTGCTCACCCTCCTATCTTGAGTTTTCCACTCCCATGCTTTGCTCAGACTATTCAGTCCTCTTCTTCTTCTTTTTTCTCTATTCCTCTCCATCTTCCAAGCCCACTTCTACTCATCTCTTCTCTGAAAGGCCTTCCAGTTGCCTTGGCAACTCTCTTAATACTCCTCCCCATAGTCTAGCTCTGGAGCAGCTAAGATCTTAATTCATGAGCATTTGGGCCTGAATCTATGTTTGATCCATCAGGTCTTGAGGGCAAATGCCTACATCTCTGCTCCCACAGGTGGTGGACAGGTTGGCTCCTCCAGGAAGTTCTCCTTGATTAACACCACTCAACTGATCCATTGGTTTCTTTTTCCAAGCTCAGTTGCTGCCAGATTCAAGTGCATATTTATATATAGATTGGCTCATTTTCACATGTGTGTGAGTGTATATGTGTGTGTTTGCTGGTCCCTCGATTGTTCCATAAGCTTTAAAAAAGCATGACTAAATCCTCCATAACTTTGGGTGCCCTCCCAGCTCCCCTCTGCCCCCAGCCTCCCACTCAGCCCCCTGAACCTGAGGGGTGCCACCATCAGTGCTGGATAACAGAGTGCCAGAGCGCCTCCAACCCTCAGGACCCACACACCCCCCAGAACTGGTCACGGAGACAAGGCTGCCACAGGCAGGCCATGGCAGGGGCAGGTGTGGTGATGTTTTGAGAGCTTTTGAAAAATGGGACTGAGAAAAGAGATGACAAGAAACATGCATTGACAAGCCACCCAGCCCTGCGGGACTCCACCAGGAACGTGGGAGAAGGAAATTTCAGGGGAGTGGGAAAAGTCTAAGCTTGGGAGGTGTAAAGAAGGATGACAATGGGGAGGCGAGGTGAGATGTTGAAAGCTGTCAGCAGCAGGGGAGGGGCTGAGGTTCTTATATAGGAGAGAGAGGTGCAGAACTAGGGGTAGCCTGTTCAGGACAGACAGCAAAGACAGAGGCCCCCAGGAGTTACCTACTAGCAGGGCTGGAGCAGAGCAGAGACTCGAAAAGAGAAAGCCACAGATGAGCATGTAGAACAGGAAGGCTCAGTTTGTCTCATGGTGAGGCATGGAGTCAGCCAGACCAGATGCCACTCCTGACTACAGATTTGTAGCTGTGCAACCTTAGATAGATTGTTTACCCTCTCTGAGCCTTCTAAGTTTTCTCATCGGTAAAATAAGGACTATATCTACCTTACAGGGAAACTGAAGTGTGGTAGATGACAGACAGAAGGAAGAGAAGGGATTCTCTCTCACCCTGGCTTTTGGAAGGACCCAGAAGATTACATAACAATCAGAAAAAGCTTTAGGACAGCCCGTTTCACCAGAAACAGTGGAAAACCCCAGAAAGGAAGTTTAGGTTCTTGAAAGGAAGCCATCTTATGGGAGAAATGCTTAGGGGAGGTCTATAGACTATACTAGGGAAGCCAGGTGCCCACCACATCCAGGAAGGAATGCTGAGCGCACCTGGTGTGCAAGTAAGTGAGGCCAGACTTGGTATTATTTCCACTGCAGAACGCCTGCTCTGCAGAGTGAGGGCGATCCCGGGGCTAAGCACTTTGGGACAGGTGTGGAAGCCGGGCCACTCACTCAGAGCCCCCCACAAGCCCCTCCGGCCTGATACTGAGACATTCAGAACCAACCCTCATGCCCAAGAACCTCCCAACATCCCAAGTTCCCAGCTCAGCCTTGTAACAGAGTGTTGGTCAACCTGAAGACATAGAGTTCCCTGTACTGATCAGAAAGCTGGCAAAACCAGGTCAGCAGGTCCACCAAAATCACGGGGACCACACTGTGCTTGAAAGAGACTGTCGAAGTACACAGCTCACAATTTTAAGATATTTCCTGGGCTAACTGGCCGGTAACTGAGGTGACATTCTTGAGAGATTTTCTTTTCTTAGACCAAGGATTTTCCCAGCCAGAAATGCACACTTTGTCCTAGACAGAGCTGGAATTCTATTAAGCCAATGGTTGCTCCTCCTATTCACCATGTCCCCAGATTGAAATCTATGTACATGAGAAGCTGGTGGAATTAAATTTAGATTGCCAGAGTGCCCCGCCCTGCCATGTCCTCTCAGAGAGAGGAGCAGCTGGCAGACTTTCCCTGGGAGTTGTGCTGCCCGGAATGCCATGCTCCCTCCTGCTGCCCCTCTGTTGATAAATGGATGGGCCTGCTTGCTTCTGCCTCTGAGTATCTGCCTGGTGGGAATAGCATTGACCAGAAACAGGGATGGAGTGCTCCATGGTTTCTAGAAGGACCGCAGAACCCCCACATGTGGTCTCCCCAGGCCTCTCCCAGGGCCAGGGAGAATCATATGTGATAATGCATGTGGGAGCATTTCGTATATGATAAAGAGCTAGGGAATTGCTCATTGCTCCCGATGAGATTGCTCCTTGTCTGTAACAGGAATATTGTTGATCCCAGGAAACATCTTCCAGTGTCCTCTGGGGCTAGTCCCCGTTGTTCAGGCCCAGAATATCACATCAAGATGTCTCATTTAGACCTGAGGTCCTCTTTGATTAACTGTTCTTTCCTTGGCCTTCATTTCTCACTCCCCTACTCTGTGGCATCTCCATTCCAATATTCCTAGAATTCAGTCACATGGTTCCCCCCTTGACCATGACTGAGATAGTCAAGGCTTCTGAAGAGAAAAGACAGGTCCATGATTTCTGGGACAATCCCAATTTCTGCCCAGGAGAAGGATGAGAAGGATGACCTCGGGTTGGCCTTGCCCTTGTGTTTTTCCCAGAGCCAATGTAGATTCCTTAATAATATCATATGCACAGGTATGATCCAGGGATAATTAAGTCCACACCCTGTAATAGTTCTGGTGGTGCCAGAAAACTTGGCTTCATTTTACAATCCTGGCTAGAGCCTTTGGCCTCTCCATGACTTGATCTTCCCCTGGTATCTGATCTTAATTTTCCCATATATAAACTAGAGAGTAGACTTCCTTTTTTCTCAGGCTTCATCACATGAATTCTTAGGGCAGCAAAGACGTGAAATGCTGCCATACACATATCCCCACCCATCCTTCACTTCCTCCCTCAACCTCCTGCCAAATGGTTAGCCAACCTCTGCTTAAAAGGTACTAACTCCCCATGTGGCCTCTCCCTCTCCCATCTCAGGATCAGTACAATGGTGCTTCCTATATTGAACCAAATCTGCTGCAGTTTCCACCTGTCCATCTCTGTCATCAATCAGGGGGGTCAACCGCATTTTGATAGGGAAGTTCCTCAAATGTTTGCAGTTAGCCATCACATCTTCCCCTAGTCTTCTTCGGGACCCTCCATCATCTTATTATAACCAGGCTTTTGATTCCCCATCACCACCATCTTGGCCACTGTCCTCTGAATGGGCTTCTACTTAGCAATGTTCTCAGAGTGGGCCGACTACAGAAGAGACAAAGCAGGCTCTGCACAATACTCTCTTCTTGGTCCTCATGCCTGTCCCAGCAGCCACCACACCTATTGGCTCATGTGTCACCACTATCAGCTGAACACTCTAAATCAAGTTTATACCCACTAGTGTTTATTTCTGCCTTCCTGTCCTTGTCCTCGTGCCCTTGGTCTTTGACTTCAAGTGTAGAAATTGCATGGTCTGCTCTCTCTCCTTCCTTTCAGGCAACCGCCTGCCCACCTTCCCCTCCACAGGCCCTCCCTCCGCAGGCCTGCCACCAGGACAGGTGAGATGTGGAGAAACTGCTCAGAGAGAATGTAAGGGTGTGTCTGAGCACACAATGTCTTATCAATGTGAGTTGCAGTCATATTTGAGTGAATCTCATATCCAAGTTTCATCTGTACTCCTTCAGGGAATGAGAAAGTAGGTCACATCTTTCATGAGACTTCTTTACACAGACTCAGAAATACCATGTAGCATGAGGCGACAGCTTAACTTGCTCCATTCTTGAATTTCTGCACCTATGCTTCCCTCGGGGCATCACTGAAAGACACCCCTGCCCATAACCCCCACTGGGTTCAGCCTCTTGTCTCCCCAGCTCAGTTTCTCCGGTGAGGCTGCCCCCTCTGACTCACACACATTCACCTTCTCTTAGCTTTGAGTCTCTGAGCAGACTGTCTGGAGGGCCCTTCCCTGACCTCCTGCCTACACCTGCTCTGACACTTTCTGTTCCACATTTCCAGCCCTCCAGGAACCTGTTGGGAAGTCCCTTCCCCAGCATTGACACCTGCTGCAGGTCCCACTGCTCCTGCGTGCTGGACACATGCTGATTTCTCCTCTCTCTGAACCTTCCCCTCCCCACAGCGTTTTGGTTGTAAGCATCTTTCAGTTCCAGAAATAAGTTCATTCAACATTGCATTCTCAGGGCCTACGCCACTGTCTGCCACACAGTAAGGGCCAAATAAATGCCTGTTGAACAGATGTGTAACTGACCTTTGAATGATCACGGTAAGGATTAATAAGATTATATCTGCAAGGTGTTTCAAGACTGTGTATTACTCGTGCAATAAAAAATAGTAAAAATAATAAACTTTACTTCCCAAATATGAATCATTTCAGAGGCCTGTAGAAATTTAAAAGTGAAATAACTCATCTCCTGACCAAAGAGCAGTTTGAGATCACAGACAAGTTTATTGTAGAAACGCCAGAAATGTCAAGCCCTTCAAGGTACAACCTTCACCCTGGAAATGAGGATGTCACAGCACTCCCCAGGGACCACACCGAGAGAATCATGAGCTTGGACGTTGTGTTAGGACTCAGCAAGCCAGTGAAGGTGACTTCAGGTCTTAGAAGCAAAGCCACCTTCCCACTCTCAAGGCCCATTAGTTGGCCAATACCTGCCCTTTGTTGTCCCCTTCAGCACATCTCACGCATCTTATGTAAAGCCCAAAGCGAGGAGGCAGGTTCTCACGCAGTGCTCAGTCACAGAGAACAGGAGGCAGAAGGGATTTCGCAGTCTGGGAAAGAGCACTAAGCTACCTTGTAAATAAGGGCAGCTCACAGCCTGGTTCAGACTGAACTGCCCAAGACGCAAGTCTGATCATTCACACTGCTCAGGGGCTGGGCACCTGGACAGAGCCTGGCTGGGCTGCATGTGCTCAGCTTGCTGGACAATTCTCAGGAGGGTCATTGTGGAGCAGATTTCAGAAAGGGCCAGGCTTCCAAAGAATGGAGCAGGAGGGGCAGGACAGAGCAGGAGGAATGCTCATCCATCGACTCTTCCCTTCGCTGCTCACGACGGCCCTCCCTGTGGACACTCGCTCAGCCCTCTGAAATACTCCCACCTGGGATGTTAATCCAGGGGGTAATGCTTCTTGAGACAGAGTCAGAATCAGGCCGATAGGACACAGTCTCCATCCACATGGTGAGACTACAGACCAAGAAGCAGGAATCAGTTTCTGGCACAGAGGAGCCCTTTACCAAGCTAGCTTGCCTTGCCATCAGCCACTCACCCAAAGGCCTCATTTGTGGGTCCCTGAGGGATGGAGTCTTGTTCCCAGGGCAGCCCAGGTTCAGGAAAGGGAGCCTGAGACTGAGGAACCTGGTGTGCTCGACCTGGGCTCTCATTACTGGCCTTGCAGATGCTCTTTACCTTCTGGCTAACCTGGGCCCTGGGTGCCCCGGGCAGGAGCAGGGCCCCTCAGTGGAGTCTGAGATGCAAGGCGACTGGCTGTGTTCTGCCTGCCAGCCAGTGCCCTGCATAGATAGATCTGCTGTTTGGGGCTACCCACCGGCTTCCTCCTCTAGAGTGGACTTTACTGGCAAAACTGCTGAGACCCATCAGAAAAAAGTAAGTATGGGGGGATCAGAGGGGTGTGAGGAGGGGACAGGAGCGAGGGGTCACAGAAACCTTCGCCTCTACTCCACGATGTGCTTGTGGGAGGTGTTGGTAGAAGTCTGGATGATCTGCAGTCTGGAGGAGCCGCCGCCTCTGCCCCCGAACTTGCTGCTGCTTTTGCTACTCCCTCCGTAGTTTCCACCGCTGCCGCTCGCGTAACCACCTCCACTGCCCCCTCCATAGCCCCCGCCACCCCCAAGGGAGGTGCCGCCGCCGCCGCCGCCGCCGCCGTAGCCCCAGCTGCTGCCGCCTCCGCCGTAACCTCCAGCGCCTCTTCCACCGCCTCTTCCACCGCCGCCTCCTGCGCCGCTGAGAGACACCTGGCTGCTCTGCACGGCTGCAAGGGACAGGGCGCCCAGACCGGGGTCAGAAGGACCTAGCAGGGGGTCCCCGCTTGCAGCCACCCCGGGCAGCCTCCCACACCTTTCATCGCTGGCAGCATCCGACTTGCAGAAAGATACATTGGATGGAAGTATTCCCATGTCTAAAGTACTCTTTACGCTACAAAGGCAGGTGCGGGCATATTTTCATTATTAATATACCCTAAAGAGTTCTAAGCTGTGCTGATTATTAAGGATTATAAAATTAAGATAAAGAAGAGCTAAAGCCATAATTTTTTTCAACGAATTTCCCAAGCTTTGCAGTTGTGTTTGCTCATTCATTCTCATTGTGTGGAACTGGAGGCCAAAATGCCCATTGCCAGTTCACTGCTGGGTAGCCCTGTGAAGCCCTCCCCCCTGAGCACCAACCAGCCCAGGCCCAGGGCACTGCTACTTACAGATGCTCACGTGGCTCTGCAGCTCTCCTGACATCCTGTAAAACCAAAGCACACATTAGCCAGACCTGCAAAGCCCAAAGGAAGACATGCAGCAGCCTGGAGACATCAGGAGCAGAGATGTCCCATGGGAAGCAAGAGCGTCCGCAAGCCTTGTGGTGCATGGGAAAGGTGTGTGCATGGGCAGAGAGGTAAGAGGGTTGGTGGGGCCAAAGGGATTTTAAGGATTTTCTTGAAGCCTTTTAGCACTGGGTGTCACCACCTGGCTGCAATCGCTTGGGTTGAGATATAGGAACATTCTACTTAATGGCAGGAGAATGAGGACCGTGACCCTGCCAAATCACACATCCTCTGCTTCTGACTTGAATGCTGCTCACCCTGGGCTACCGATCTTCCCAAAAAAGCTGAGATGGTCTTCTCTCCAAAAGTCAGTCCCACTACTCCAGCAGTATGCTTTGGCCCCAAAACATGGCCCACCTGCTCTCCTCGCACTCCAGCAGTCTGCGGTAGGTGGCGATCTCCACATCCAGGGACAGCTTGGCTCCCAGCAGTGCCTGGTAGTCACGCAGCAGCCGGGCCATGTGCTCCTTGGACTGCTGCAGGGCCTCCTCCATGCCCTGCAGTTTCTGCCCCGCGTCCTGGAGAGCCTGATCTCCTCTCTCCTCTGCATCCGAAATGACTCCACGCATCTGCTCAATCTGCTCGGAGATGGTCATGGAGAAGAAGCGTGCAAAGGAGCCCATCCAGCAGGGCACCATGGGAGGTGGCATGTCTGGTCAGCCCACCATGAGCACCCATCTCACCTGCTTCCTGACGTTGCTGATCTCAGCTTGCAGCCTCTGGATGTTGCGATTGAGGTCTGCAATCTCCATCTTGCTGATCTTCAGATCGTCGCCATGTCTTCCCGCTGTCATCTGAAGCTCCTGGTACTGAGGGTCAAAGGCAGCATCACCATCAACCTGCTACTCACCATGAGCCCCTCCAAGAGGGAGTGAATCTGCCTTCCCAGACCCTCCCCAAGAACACTTTTCCCTGGGAAAGCTCCCAAATCACACACACACACACACTCACACTTATACCAAACCTCCCTGATCTGAGCTGTGACCACACACACACACACACACACACACATACACACACACATACACACCCCAAGCCTCCCTCATTCCCACCAGTGTCTGGGCCAGCCCTACATCCCAGATGGACAGAGCTTCTTGATGCCCCTTTTCCTACATCTAGGCCTTCACACTGGTTCTACCCACACTGGGACACCCCTCACTTTTTCTACCCTCGTGTATTTCTTCCTACCCTTTTCCAGAATGATTTCCCTGGCAGTCAGGCCCTCATTTCCTCCGGGGCCCTCAGCATGCTCCGTGTTTATTTGCATTTTCCTCTCTATCTCCTTTTCAGTGTCTACACGGTCCCAGCAATAGGAACTCTATCCACAGGCCATGACTCTGAAAGAAGCTGTGGGGAGGGTTGGCTCAAGGAAATCTCAACTTTCTTTTTATTTTATTTTATTTTATTGTTGACAGTATTGCAGATGTCTCCCATTTTCTCCCCTTTTGCCCTCCTTCACCCAACCCCCATCGCACCCCAGATCTGTTGTTCTGTTCTATGCATCCATGCCTCTGGACCTACTTTGTTTGTCAGTTTATTTTGTTCTTTAGATTCCATTGATAAGTGAGATCATGTGATATTTGTCTTTCTCTAACTGGCTTATTTCACTTAGCATAATAGTCTCCAGGTCCATCCACGCTGTCTCAAAGGGTAAGAGAGCCTTCTTTTTCATAGCTGCATAGTATTCCATTGTGTAAATGTACCACAGCTGTTTCATCCACTCATCTACCGATGGGCACTTTGGCTGTTTCCAGACCTTGGCTATTGTAAATAGTGCTGCTATGAACATAGGGGTGCATATATTCTTTCTGATTGGTGTTTCGAGATTCTTAGGATATAGGAATCTCTACTTTCTGATGTTTTCACTGTTGCCATCTATCTCCCCAGTCTGATGTTGAAATTCATGCCAGTCAGAACATCTGCCTGTAGGACAGTGTGACAGAGGCCAGCGAGATTGGAGTTGGCCACAGGTAATCCACCCACAAAGTGGATCTCAGGTGCCAGGTGTTCAGAATTTAGTGTCTGGCCTTTGACCCTTACCTACAGAGTCTTCACCCTCCAAAAATGTCCAAGTCAATTTATGTTACAGAAGTAACCAAAGATGTGCCCACAGACTTAACTACAAAGCTGTTTATCTGAAAGTGAGGGTCTATTTTTAACATGGATACCACACCACTATTAAAGGCGATAGCAAATATTTACTATCACAGAAAGGCATTCAAAGTGGCAAGTAAAAGGGAAAAGTGCAAAACTATATTTCAAAAGACTGCATAATGAAAAATAAGAATAAAAACATTACAATGGTTGAGAGCATGAGTTGCAGATGACACATCTGGGTTTAATTAAGTTCTGCCTCTGCCACTTACCAGCCACAAGACCTTAGAGAAATTAGGTAATATCCTCTGTCATATGTGAAACAGGGGTAACAACATCCTTACCTCATGGGGTTGTTGTAAAGAGTAAACAAAATAACATATAAAGCATTTAGTGCAGTGTCTGGCACATGCATTGTCAATAAATATTAGCTACCAAGCACTGGTAGAAAATATGCTGACATATTAATAGTGGTTGAGGGAGATGAGTAATATTTATCTGTAATTTCTAACTTTTCTGTAACAAACATGTTTGACTTTAGAAGTGAGAGAAAGACAATCCAGGTTCCGGGAGGGGTGTTCAGTTCTGAGTGCTGCGCCTGGGCGGGAGCAGGGCTCACCTTGGTCTGGTACAGCGCTTCGGCCTCCTCCTTGCTCTTCTGTGCGATCATCTCGTACTGCATCTGCACCGCTTCGATGATGCTGTCCAGATCCAGAGAGCGGTTATTGTCCATGGACACGATGACATTGGTGTCACTGATGTAGGTCCGCATCTGGGACAGCTCCTAAAGACATGGACCACAGGCTGAACCCTTCTACTATCTGCCTGAGGCCTCAGTTTCCCTCTTCTGCTCCCCTCAAGGCTCTCTGGGGAAGCCAGAAGCCTGGGCCAGATGGGACTCTTGGGGGAAAGTTCTTTTGATTGTTTTTGTGTACTGAGAAGTCCCTTAACCAAAAGTAAAGGCACCCAGACCAGGGAGAAGAAAGAGCCTGGACTCCGAGCCCTCGTGGACGCCACGTGCCCATCATGCCGCTCCTGCGCCCGTATCTCCGCCTTACTCAGGCTTGGCCACACCTCGAGCTGTGAGTTCTGACGGCAGACCTGCTCCTTGAAAGCACCAGGGCTCTCAGAGGCAGTGGAGAGAGCTCCACCTGTGCAGCAACTCACACTAACTTTTGAGTCTGGACTCTACTGTGACTAACTGGACCACTGAACAAGTGCTTTCATCTCTCAGTGCCTCAGTTGTCTCATCTGTAGAATGGACATACCCAGGACATAGCAATATCCTAGCACAGCATCTGGCCCAGAGCAGTGCCCCCCACTTAGACATGGGTGACTGGAGGACAAGGGTGTTGAGAGCATCTTACCCGTCACCACTGCCATCTTCCCCCTCATTCCCTTTGAGATCCACGCTGTCTTCTCCTGTGGAGTTCCCTATAGCCCCCATTGACCTCTCAGCACTGATGAAGATTTCTGGTTCGTTTTGCCCATGAATGTCCTGGGTGTTAACCTTATTCCCCAGACAGAAGTGGAGCCAGCTTCACCTTGTCCTACCTCAGGACTCTCCCAGCCTCCATCTCCAGTGCGCCACCCCCCTTCCCCCCCCCCCCAGGACTCCTGAGCTCTCAGGGTTAAGAGGATGGTTGAGGGGACTGGGGAGAGGATTCCCTGGTGGACAATGTTTCGTTTCGGGCCTCCCTCTCTTACAACCCACACGCCTTGTAGGATGTGAGAAAAGACAAGGGTTTCTTACAAACTCACCATCTCAAATATAGATTTCAGGAAGTTGGCCTCCCCGAGCAGCACGTCCACCTTGGACTGCAGGTCCACTTTGTTTATATAAGCAGCATCCACATCCTAAACAGCAAGCAAAGGCAGACTGACTTCTCTGCCCAGGCACTGGCTGCCACCCGCGGGCTGGACGGCCTGGGCAAGGCGTGAAGCTTCTCTGGGTTTCTTTCCTTGCCTGCAAATGTCCTCACCTCACTCAAATAAGGGACCTGCAGACTCTGGCTTCCTGGACAGGAGGAAGTGTGACACCAAGTTCTCTGTCTTGGTCAGTCACACAAACACCTCACGTCCCTCCCCAGGTCCCAGGGCCATACATAACTAGCACTCAGAAGCTCTCAGTTAATTTCATTTCACTTTCATGACCCTGGAGAGATTAAAACAAAGATTCCTGCCCTGGCTGGTTTGGCTCAGCTGTTAGAGCATCGGCCCACGGACCAACGAGTTGCGGTTCGGTTCCGATCAAGGGTACGTACCTCGGTTGCGGTTCGTTCCCGGCCCTGGTCGGGTCATGCGGGAGGCAACCAGTTGATGTGGCTCTATCACATCGATGTTTCTCTCTCTCTCTCCCTCCCTCCCACTCTATCTGACAATAAATAGAAAAAGTATCCTCGGGTGTGGAATTTTAAAAATATATAATAAAACTCAAAGATTCCTAAATCTGTCCATTATCATCACTTTCAGACTTGGCCCTTCATTGTAAGGGCCCCAGAGCTTGGGCAACATGCTCAACAAGCTGGCCCCAAGGTCACCTAGTCCATCCACAGTCACACAGCCTCCCTCGGGACACCCTCGTTTCTCACCTTCTTCAGAATGACAAAGTCATTCTCATTGTTGGTCCTCCGGTTGATTTCGTCCTCATATCTGTAGGGGGAAGGGGAGAAACACAGACAGGCTGCAGGGGCGGCTCGGAGCTCCTTATATTTGTACTGCCCTGGACTCTGGCTGTCCTCGACCGGGCCGGCCACGCTCACTGGCAAGTTCTCCAGATCAACAAAGGAGACAATGACCCAAGGTGGAAAACCCAGAGCTACATAGAACACTCCCAAAGTGTCCATTTTTATTTGTAAATGTGTCAAGCTCAATCTTTTTTTTTTTAATTGAGAACTTAAAGTGATCACTTTTACTAAACTTTTTAAAGAGAAAAAAAATGTCACCTATGATTCTGCACCACCCCCAACACCTTTGGTGTGAATTTCATTTGTCCCTTTTCGATTCACACAAACTTGCCTCCCTCCTGGCCCGCGCAGTAAGCATGCCAAGGAGATGTTGAGAGCAGCACCCTGCACCCCAGCAAGGGGAGGGAAGGCCACTCCGTTGTCTGCAGGGTGCGAGAGCAGTGATATAGAATTAGACAGGTCCTGTCACCCCCGCCATTGCTATTAGTGATAACCAGTGCTCACTGAGTGCTTAGTAGGTGCAGGCACAGCCTCAGAACTTATTAAACACAACTTCATCTAAGCCAGTGGATCTCAAAGTGCGGTCCCCAATCTCCCAGGATCATCCACTTGGAAACATTAAAAATGCCAATACTCCAGCCTTATCCCAGACCTACCTGATCGATCTGATTTTAACAAGCTGATGCATACTAAATTCTGAGAGCCACGATCTACCCCCCACAGCAATCCAACGAGGAGGGTACTCGCTCTCCCCGCTTAACAAATGTGAAAACTTGTAGGCAGCCAGAAAATGGCAAAGCCCACACTGGAACTGAGGCTTATCTGGCTCCATGGACCTAGTCTGCCCTGTCCCCAAGCAATGCAATCGAGAGCTGACTGGCGATACCAGGGCTCCCATGTGCAAAATGGTGCCCCGCTATTGTGCAGTGCAGAGCCTGCATGGCTGTGCTTAGTGGCCCTGCTCCCGCCGCTTCACAGTAACACTGAAGCAGAATGTCCTGCCCATGAATCAGTTCCCCGCCACGCTTCTCCCCGAGCGCTTCTCCCGCCTGGCTCCTCACTTGTTCTTGTAGTCTTCCACCACACCCTGCATGCTCATGACCTCCGATCTCTGGCGCATCTGCTCTGCTTGGAGGAAGTCCACCTGCCTCCGCAGCTCGCTGATGTAGTTCTCCATGACAGGCTCCAGGTTGAAGTCCCGAGACGACGTGTCTACCTGCTGCAGCAGCTCCCATTTTGTTCGTAGCACCTGGTTCTGCTGCTCCAGGAATCGCACCTAAAAGCAAGAGCCCTCCAAGTTCACCCCGGTCATGGGTCTGAGAAGCACCCCAGTGGGGAGGGGGATGGGCAGCCCATAACATGTCTAGAGCTTAGAGCATCAGGATGGCTCTTCTAGGGACCAGAGAGCATCTCTTTCTTTGGGACCAAGACACATGAGCACAGTGTGGTTGCTGATGGTTGACCAAAGGCTGTAAAGTCAACTAACCTGAAATTAACACTGAGCTACTCTGGTATTGAAGGTAAATCCCTCCCATTGAGCCCCTTGTGTCCTTTAACTGCCCCCGTTCACACCACAGAGCTGCCACCAACCCGCTCTGTTTATCTGTGCCAACAGGAGGAGATGGTGAGCAGGCATCTGAAACACTGACACATCACAGGCGCATGTCTCTGGTTGAAGTGCTGGGACAAAGGAGAACAAGAGGAGGGCAGGAACAATTTGGCTTAGAATAGTAACGGATTTCTGAGCCAAATCGCCTGGGTGTCCCCACCAGCTTCACTGTCCGCCAGTGTTTTTCAGGAAAGTCACCTCATTTCAACACTTTTAGCACCCGGACAGAGTTTTAAAAGTAAATGCTCTCTATTTTTTTATGTTGTGTAATGCATTCCAGTATCCCAAAGTCAGGACTTTGGGGTTATCTAGTGTTCGGGGATCGCCCAGATTGCTATTTCCTCCGTTCACACAGAAAATCAAAAGTGGGCATCATCTTATATTCTCAGCACCTCTCTCCCAAAACTGTGGACACAAAGGTCAGGTGCAGGGTCCGGAGAGCTGGCCGGCTGTACAGACCAAGTGCATGGACCATCCTGTGCATGATGAGAACCAAACTCACCTCAGCTCTGCCGGCTGCCCGCAGACGGACCCTCCTCTTCCACGTCTTAGGAGAAGCCCGTGGATGCCGTTATGCTTGGCTCAGGTGAGCACACACACACGCTCCAGAATCTGTCTGGCAGCTGCGTATGTGGGCAAACCCCTTGCCTGTGCTGTCAGAATGAAACCCTGAAGAACCTCCTACAATACAGCACTAAGGAGGGTGCCAGAACCCCCGCCCTGAGACTGCCCATTGGAGGGTCCTGGTTAACTCCCTTTGGGTTCCGACTCCAGGCTAGAACATGTGTGTGGAGAGGCCACTGTTTCTCGTGGCCCATTTTTGTTTGACTTATCAAAGCCAGAGATAAGGCAAACCAGCTCTCACAGGTTTGTCAACACAGCTCAAAACACCCCTGTGAGAAAGTTCTGCCACGTGGCCTGTTTCACTCGGGCACTCCCAGGGAGTGGAGAAACCTACCGAACCCTCGAACCCTAGTTCATAGCCCTGTGTTGTGTTGCAGGATGAAAAGAAAGAATCTTATGGTCCCACAGGGAATCTCCACATCAAACAATGAGGGCGCAGTCAGACACCTCTGAGTGCTTGGGGCTTAGCCCGAGGCCCCCTGACTGTGGTTCTTGTTAGGCCACGCACACTACAAGGCAGCGGCTGGCAGAAGCTGGCTTCAGGGAGTGCAGGCGATTTTAATGGAATTGAACTAGAAAAATCGCTGAAAGCCATTGTGAATTTTCCCCAGGCTCCCCCAAACACTCCTGGGCTGTGCCCCCCATCAGCAATACTGAGGGGATACTCACTAACACATAAAATTTAGCATCGTGCTAAGCTAACCCTCGTAGCCCAGTCCACTTGACCTCTCGTGCCCCTCTCCCTCCTGTTCATGGCCTCCTGGTGCCCCCACAGCCCGGATCTCTCCAATTCTTTGCCTAGCTGACTCCTATTCACCCTTCAGATCTCAACTACAGTGGCCACCCCCTGGCATCCCCTCTTCATCAGCCCGTGACATCCATCATGATCTGCGGTCTTTGGGGGTATTCTAGTACAACCCTCTCTACTAGGTGTGAGCCCCGGGATGGCCGCCATGTTTGCTTTGCTCTCCAGTGGACACAGGTGCTGAGACACATGGACACACAGTGCCCAACACAGAGAAGACAGTGTATAAGTAGCATGAGCTAATGAAATGCTAAGAGCTTTGAAATTGCCTGGCATAGAGGATTCAGAGTCATCTGAAAAAGCTCAAGCCAGTGTCTCCATGGGAAGAACTGGACTCTCCCCCTTTTCTTCCTGAGGCCCCTTTCTCTTGTCATTATTTCTTTTTAAAACAGCATTTGCTTCCATTCCTGCTCTCTGAGAGTCAAGCTGGACACATGATGGGCTGACTCGATTTTTCATTCAACACAGATTTATTGAGCAATTATCATGTGCTTGGCATTATTCTTGATGCTGGAGATTCAATAATAAACAAAACAGACAAAATCCCTGCTTTCCAGGAGTTTATGTTCTATTTAGAGAAACAACTGTAAAGAAATGCGAGGTAGACAGTGTGTCCAATGACTGTAGGGCTGTGGAGAGAGGTGACACGGGACGGTGGATAGAGATGCTGGGATGAGGGAGCTACTTTAAACAGAGAGATCAGGGAAGGCTTCACAGAGACAGGGGCATCTGAGCTAAAACCTAACGGAGGTAGAAGGGGACATCAGCCCACTCTTTGGAGGGAGGAGTTCCAAGCAGAGGAAATGTTAAGTGCAAAGGCCCTGAGGTGGAACCATGCTTGGGGCCCTGGAGGCTGCAAGAATGCAATAGTGGCAAAGCAAGAGGAAAGTGGAAGAGGAGGCAGGGAGGGAGAGCAGGACCACTGCACACAGTGAGTCTGTACCCTGGGGAGCTAAATTCCAGCGCTCACTTTGTTACTAAAAGTTGCAGCTTGAGAGCTGTTCCATCCGGTGGTGGCAACATTGCCTAATTCTCACAAATGCAAGCCAGGGGCAAGCAGCAGCTTTGGGTTGGAAGGCCCGATTATATAGAATCCTATAGGAGCTTGGCTTTTATTGTAAATGAGACAAGAAGCCAATGGAGGAATGATATGATTTATTGATTGATTGATTGATTATCCTCACCCGAGGACATTTTTGCATTTATCTTCCGATAGAGTGGGAGGGAGAGAGGGAGGAAGAGAGAGAGAGAGAGAAACATCTATGTGAGAGAGACACATCGAGTGGTTGCCACCCACACGACCCCAGTCGGGGCTGGGGACAAACTGCAACAGAGGTACGTGCCCTTAGCAGGAACAGAACCCGGGACTCTCTGGTCCGCAGGCTGGCGCTCTAACAGCTCAGCCAGATTGGCCAGGGTGGATATGACATTTTTAAAGAATAGCTCTCATGTGGTGCTAAGAATAGGCTGGATAGGGTTAAGAGTGAAAGCAGGACCAGATCAAAGGCTGGTGTCAAAAGTCTTGCAGGAGAAGCCTTCTCCCTTCCTGCCAGGTCAAAGACTTCCTGAGTAAGAAGCCTCTGCTCATGGTCACCACAGACCATGCCTTTGGGAAAGGACAAGAAGCCACAGTTTCCTGCATCCTGGCCTCTGCGCACAGCCCCATGCCACAGAATTGAACAGATGTCTTATTAATGGCAGAAGCCACAATCCAAATAGAGTCTCTGGAGATCAGCTGCCAGTAGCCCAAGGACATTTCACTGACCCCTTCCCCAGCCTGCTTTTGTTCCTGCTTCCTCCTTGATCTAGCCTTGACCTCCCAGCAGTGTTTCCTTCACCTGTTACCTCCTTGCTCCAGTCACACCCTCCCAGTCCCTGTCGATGCCTGTGGTGTGATGATATTCAACCAAATTTCCCATCCACGGTGATCAAAGTAGCCAGAAGCACTTTGATAGCACTCTGCTGAGGCTGTCACTGGGCTTAGCACTCACCTCCTCCCTGCTCACACACTGTCCACCCCCAGCATTTACCCTGATATCAGAGGCTGGGTCTACAACCCAAAGCTGGACCTTGGCCATGGCTACTCTGCTGTCAGACCACAGGTCAAGCTCTTGTCTCCACACAGAACTCCTGTGGGGACTGAGGGAAAGTCACTGTGAATCTAGGGGCTTTTGTACCCCCAGGGTCTTCCCCACTACATCCCGAAGGGCAAAAAAGGCCTTCTGGGGAACCTACAGTAGCCACCATGCCTCCACCCTTAGACAAAAGGAAATGTGGAGCAAGGTGTTCCCCGTGGGTCTCCAACCAGCCTCTGCCTAGTGATTTGGACTCAGGCCAAACCCAATCTAAGGTTTGATCAGGAAACTAAGGGGAGGGGCTTCAAAAACTTCATCTGGCTCATTCTTGGCCCTTGATGAGCTAGAATGAGGAACTCAGAATTCTACTTATCGTGCAGTTGACTTTAGTCCCCAGTGTCACCCGCCAGGGCATTCGCCTAGGTTCTGCCACAGCTCCTTGAGGACAGGGGATCACCCTGTGGCACACTGTCTGGAATATAATAGATGCTTAGTAAATGTCTGTGGGATGGATGAGTGATGGGTAGATGAATGGATGGAAAGTGAATAACTGTGAATGAGAACGCGATTACAATATCACGTATTTTGTCTACCGGGAATTTTCACACCTCCTATCTGCTTTCCTGCCACATGGAAAGATAGAAACAATTTCCTAAAGTTGAATTGAGGCCTAAATGAGGTAAATGCTTTCTTAAGGTCCCAGAACATACACATCTGGAAATAGTTGTCACCACAAACCAAGACAGCACAATGTGGCGAGCGACAGCAGGGCACAGGACCCTCGCAGTCACTCGGCCGGGCCCAGTACTCTGCCTGCCCCTCAGGCACTCACCTTGTCAATGAACGAGGCAAACTTGTTGTTGAGAACCATGATCTGGTCCCGCTCCTGGGTCTTGACCCTCTGAATTTCAGGGTCCACCTCCAGGTCAAGTGGCTGTAGGAGGCTCTGGTTAATGGTCACCTGTTGGATGCCCCCCAGGGGACAAGAATAACCAAAGCCCCCAAGCCCAAAATTGCTACCCCCAAAACCACCTCCTCCATAGCCACCACCTCCAAAGCCACCACCCCCAAAAGCACCACCTCCAAAGCTACCACCTCCAGAGCCACCACCCCCAAAACCACAGAAAGTGCCACCTCTAAAACCACCACCTCCAAAGCCGGCACCCCCAAAGTTTCTGGCCCCTCCAAGGCCCCCTGCCCCTGCTCCCCTTCCCTGGCGGAAACCACTGGTGCTTCTTCCCACTAGGTTAACTGAGATACTTTTAGTGCCACCTAGATTGTAGAGGCTGTGGGAGCCAAACCCCTTCACATGGCTGCCGTACCCACCACCGTCACACCTGCCTCGGGCCTGACACACGGAGCTCACAGCCCATCTGCCACCACCAGAGCCTGCAGAAGAGCCAAGGCTGTAAACCCGCTTGCTCCTTGAGCTAAACGCCGACCGAGAGCTAAACTGGCGGCTCATGGTTGCTGGAGCATCCAGGCAAGCAGACAAGAGACAGGGCCCAGCTGGAGGGAGGCAGAGACAGGGCAGGGCGGGAAGGACGTGACTCCTCTGCAAGAGATCTGGCTCGGTCTCTATATATACACACGCAGGCACGGACTGGGCAGGGCACTTTCTGAGTCTGGCAGGGGAGTGTTTATGTTTAGTTTGCCTGCCAGCTCCATCTGTTTAAACTTCATACCTATGAGTTGCAGAAATTGCACTGTAGACAAACTTCCCCAACTTGATCATTTATCATTCATCTCTTGCCAGTTAGAGATCAGAGTGCAATAATCACTCAGGATCCAGTTGCTGGAAACTCCTCTACAAGTTTCCCCCAAATTATTAGTTGATATCTTCTTAAGAAACTCCGCCACTGAGTTGCTTGTTTTGGGGGGTGTGCCCAGGAGATCCAGGACAAAGCTAAGGGTTGTCTAGCCACTTAGGGACCACAGCTGGGACAAGGATGGACTTGTGATGGGGCAAAAGTTTTGTCCCCATCCCCTGGTTCTGCTCCCCATTGTTATCATCATCATGCACACCCCAAATTCTAATCACATGAAAACATGGTATTGTGGTCACTGAGTGAAAGCCAGGGGACTCTGTCCAAGACTGACCACACTTTTCTGGCTACATCACTGCTTCTGTCTACACTGCAGGCTCCTCAAATACAAACATTCATGTTCCTGCAGCACTAAAGGCCCGTGATTGTAGATCCATTGAGCATCTACCAGGACCTAACGTTGTCTTCTAGACCAAAAGACAAACAATCCTGAAATCTCTCTCTTTTTCTTTTCATTCTCAATCTATTTATTATAAACCAATGTTTTTGTAAAACAGAAAATAAATTATTTTTAAAGGGAGATTTTTTAAAGTTATACAAAATACAAGCCCCGGTTGTTTATTTTAGATTCATCAGACATAAAGTTATTCTATCGCAAAAAAGAAAAATATTAAGTTCCTAAATATTTATTCTCAAATTCAGTGTTTGTCTCCTCTGAAGTCAGTAATAAAGTTCCCTGGGCCAGCGCTGGTGTGCAGGCCCACGTTCTGGGAAGCACTGACCCAGGCAGCAAGCAGGGGTGAAGTTCATTCAAGGAGCATCAGTGTCAGTCAACAAAATATGTGCATGCCCTTTGGACTCAAATAGATGGTAGCTATCATCCGAAACTTGACGACGATGATGATGATGATGATAAATACCAAATAACGTGGGGGGGGAAGCCCTCAGTGTCCTCACTCAGAAATATGATGGCTTGCTCACTTGGATACAATTATTTTAAATAATCATCATGGAAATTGGGGTGATGAATACATAATACAATATACAGATGATGTATTATAAACCAATGCTTTTTCTCTTTATTGATTTTAGAGAGAGAGGAATGGAGAGGGGGAGAGAGACAGAAACATCGATGAGAAAGAACATCGATTGGTCACCTCTTGCATGCCCCTCACTGGGGATTTGGCCCTCAACCTGGGCATGTGCCCGGCCTGGGAATCGAATCAGTGACCTCTTGGTGCATGGGTCAATGCTCAACCACTGAGCCACACTGGTCGAGCACCAATACTTTTATTGTACACCTGAAACCCATATAATTTTATTAATCCATGTCACCCCAATAAATTCAATAAAAAAGAAAAATATAAAGTATATTGAAAAATAAATAAGTAAATAAAATTATCATCAGGGAAACCATGTAGCAGCATTGGAAATGCTTGTGATACAATGTTAAATAAAGCTAAATATACAATGAACTCATCAAAATTAAGAATGCAGAGAAGCCAGGCCTAAAAAGTTACATGGAAAGTGAATTGATTTATCAAAGATTATAGGAGGGATTTTTTCCCGAATATTTTAAATGTCCTTTGCCTTTATATTTGAGCAACAAGTAAATATTTTTGCAAAAGTGGGGGCTGAAATCACAGCTGCAATAGAGGTGGGTGAGAGAAAGAAGCAGAGAGGTGTTGGGGAGCGGCGGGGAGGGAAGGCATCCGAGGCTGGGAGGGGCTCTGTGGGCAGCCTCCGGCCTCCACGCCTTGGTATCTCCTCAGTAACTCCGTAGTGAACCATCTCCAGGAGACACTGCAGGATAGAAGAGAGGGAGCCTGACATTTACTGTCACAAGAGCTGGTTTCAGCTCCCAGCCCTACTTCTACCCACCTATGATCTTAGGCAAGTCGCCCACTCTAGGGCCTCAGATAGTTAAAGGAATCAGAGCATCTATTTCTCAAGGAGTCAAGGCTTTAAAGCATGTAGAAAAGCACAGAACACTATACTGCACTGAACAAACATAAATATAGCTACTTTCAGATCCTGGTAGGATGATCAGCGGCCCCACTCGCCTGAACTGGCCATGCTGAAGCCGGGATAGTCCAGGCAAGTCAAGAGAGTTGCTACCCTGGTCCTGGCAGCTCAGGTCCGCACCTAGTCCTGACCCGAATCCCTTCAGGGAGCTTCCAGTAGGAGAGGGAAGCCCCCGGGTGCGGGGGCCATTAAGGAGAAAGCCAGTAGAGTGAGAGGAGAGAGGGGAGTGGAGCCGAGGCCCGGGACATGTCCCTGAGAGCTGCCCGAAGTCAGGAACTCCGAGCCGGCAGAGTCCAGAGAACAGGCAGAGGGCAGGATCCTTGTGCTCAGCTTTGTAAACTGGTTTGAATTCTGGCTCTGCCCCATCCTGACCCGCTGGCTTAGACACACGCTTAACTCCTTGAGCCTCAGTCCCCTGGCCTGTGAAATAAAGATAATAATACCAGCTCCACATGGAGACGATAGTAAGTAGCTGAGATCAAATATGGAGGAGCACTGAGGAGCTGGAAACTGAGGAGTCAGACAAGCCAGGCTCCTTCCTACCGCACCCCCTCCCACATCCCTCCCACTGCAGCCCCCCGGGACTCGGGGCCACTGGAGCCCCCGCAACTGCAGCACTGTCCGCACGACTCACTTCCAACCATCGCGAAGAACACAAATAACCAACCGCTTCGCTTCTGTCTCCACTGCCGAGAAGATTGATAGGAATCTCACCCAGCTTATGTTCCCCCTCATGCTAAATGTGAGGAATTGTTAAATTGTGATAAAACTAAAGAGCACGCCCCAGGAAGCAGAGTTTGGAAAACCTCTGGTCTCTGGCTGTGGTCAGCTGCCACCATCCAATGCCAACACCCTGGCCTATCTCCTGTCATCTGGGTGACCCCTGGGGGGCTGCTGTCACTCCCATAGGGCTGGGGAGGGGGCCCAGCGAATACTACTAACAGAGCCTTCGGTGTAGGGTGATAACTATTCTCTAGTCCCTCATAACAAGAGGGAATGGCTTAAAATGAAGCATAAGAGATTTCACTTGTCCCCAAAAAAGATACTTAACTTCAGGTCAGTATTAAATGGTGGGTCAAGTTTCTAGAACACATTTCTATCCCTAAAGGATACCCTTCAACTGGTTGGACAGCTTAGAGAAGTAGTTTCTAAACTTAATACACATTGGAATCACCTGGAGAGCTTCAACACCATAGGTGCCAGGCCCACCCCTAGAGGCTAGATCTCACTGGGGTGTATCTCAGCTTTGGGAGTTTGAAGGGTCTCAGGTGGTTTTCAGGGGCAGAAATGTTTGGACACCACTGGCCTGGAGGAAGCGGAAGGATGAATGAAATGGCCTCTTCAGATCCCATCCAGTCTGAGGACAAAAGAATAATACTGATCATAATAACAACAGCTAACCTCTTCTCGAGTGCCCTTAGTGGGCAATGCACTGTGTTAGGTCTGCATGGACAGTCTTGTTAAATCTAAAGATCAGTCCTGGCCGGTTTGGCTCAGCGGTTGGAGCGTCGGCCTGCGGACCAGAGAGTCCCGGGTGTGGTTCCCGCTAGGGGCACATACCAAAAAAAAAAAAAACTAAAGATCAGCAGTCTTTGGAGAGAGACGTGACCCTTTTCTCCTCTCCACATCGCTCCCCACTAGATCTCCTTAAAAGAAAGAGGAGGGTCAGTTGAGGGCTCATCTTGCCCTGCTAGTCTCCCAGGTACTGAAATGAGGGCTGCCAAGAGGGTGAGGCCCAGGGCAATTATCAGCCACCCGATCACAGTCTCGGCAGCGGTGGGAGGCAGGGTTGGAGAGGAGTTGGTGTGACTGGCAGGGTCAGCCCTACAGGTCTGCTCCCCATCTCACCCTGCATCACCCAGGTCTGGAGGTGGAAATCACAGGGCAGCACAGGAGTGTGGCAGGGGTGTGGGACCCAGGCTGGACCCTTAGGCAGAGAAAAACAAGGAGGGAGAATTTCTTCCACCAGCCCCTGCCTGGGAAGGAGGGGAGAGCTGCAGCCCTGGGGTAGGATTGGGGGCCTTTAATCTCCTTGAAGTGGGAGCTCACGGACACCTGAGCATCAGAGGAAGGCAGTGGTGTGCCGGGGGTCAAGGGGACCCGCCTCCTAGAACTGAATTGAAGCTCCTGGAGCTGGCTTCCTCCACCTTCAGACCACTGTTCTCCCTACAGAAGTGTCAGACCCAGACAGGTGATGAAGACCATCCACATGGCACCTTCATTTTATGAAAAGAAAATAAATGCAAAGAGAGGAAGGACCTGGTCAAGGTTGGTGGTGCAGCTAGAACTAGTCAGGCATCCCCCCTCCCAATCCGAAAACGAGCAGGGCCTGTGAGGAATTCCCAGCAGCCTCAGGGCTCCTGCAGCCTGGGATGCTATATGGGGAGCGCCCTCCAATCTCTGTCAGGCCCGCCTGCAGCGTGAGGAGGTGGTGCTGGGCACACAGGAACACCCCTGGTAAATCCTCCTGATTTCTCGGGTAATGTGGGTTTTGAGGCAACAACTAAGCGTTTAAGCTCCTCCTCAGGCTCCAAAGCCAGGCTCCCACTTTGGATATCCTTTTGACTAGAATCCTAGGGCCCACCTGAACACTAAGGGTCAAACATTAAACCTAATGGGTGTTCTTGGGCCAGAAGGCCTCGCGAGGTGTCAGAGCAGCCCTGCACATTCCCATGGCCAAGGTCCAGGGATAATATTGATCCGGGCATATCAAGCTCTTTCATCCAACATGCTGGAAGTCATGACTATT